ACTTTTTTATTTCCTTTTCTCATCTTTTAGTCTCCATAATGTAATGCCTTTCCTCAAATTACACTTTATAATGTTTTCTATATTGTACCTTTGTGTTTTTTAAATAATATTATGCTCTGTAATATTAGACTACTCAGTTTCCAACTTTTAGTGGTAGTATCTCTTATTTTTTAATTTGTACCCTTACTTATATTTTTATACTTTTCATCATAGAGTTTTAAATATAAAAAGATCATAGTATTTTTATTCTTCGTGCTATTTTTCAAATAGTTTATAAATATTTTAAATCACAACCGAAGTGTCTCCTTCTGTTTTGTCCTTTGTATTTTTTTTTTTTGAGACAGAGTCTCACTCTATCTTCAGTGGTGCGATCTTGGCTCACAGCAACCTCCACCTTCTGGGTTCAAGCAATTCTGTCTCAGCCTCCCAAGTAGCTGGGATTGCAGGCACCTGACACCATGCCTGGCTAATTTTTGTATTTTTAATAGAGGCAGGATTTCGCCATGTTGTCCAGGCTGGTCTCGAACTCCTGACCTCAAGTGATCCGCCTGCCTCGGCCTCCCAAAGTGCTGGGATTACAGACATTAGCCACCATGCCCGGCCAGTCCTTTATATTTTCTTTGCACCCACCTCACACCCTGTTTTTGCTTCTATAGTGGAATGGGCCTATTTTCTTTCTTTATTCAGATCAGCTTTATTGAGGAATAATTTATGAATGATAATAAACTGCACCCATTCAAAGTGTTCAAACTGATAGGCTTGACAATTTTATACACCTGTGAAACAACAACCCTAATCAAGATACAGAACATTTTTGTCACCTATAAAAGATTCCCTCATAGCTTTTTGATTGAATATTTTAAAATATTTGATACTGCCTATTGTTTACATTAGTTTTTGATACACATATCATTTCTAATAGTAGGAGGTCCGTGATTTTGAAAGTTTTGTTTATTCCTTCAAATTTTGCTTAAAGGTAATTTATTTGGATATAGCACTATTGGAATTCTATATAGTATATGTTCATAATATCAACTGTAATGTTCTTAAGTTATTCATTCATAAAGAAAAGTATTTCTTAAAGTATCCTCTCTGTTTTTCTTATAGAATGTTGTTATAATGATTCATTTAATTATTTAATATTTTCTAAAATGCTTTGACTATGGTACCTTTTAGAAATTATTAGAAAACATTTAAAAATGTAATCGGTAGTTTCATATATGTTATTGTTTATTCCTTTGTGGTTTTCCTTGGATAAATTACATTTAGATGCATATGTTTATTATTAATTCAACAATAATCATCTTTAACATTTAAGATAAATGGAAATTGAGATTAATAATCTTCATTAATATTATTAAATATTACTTTGGAATTCTTACCATAGTTTATAAATGAAAAAAAATCAGGACATATGCAAAAAAATTTGCAAATTCTTATTATATAACATTGTGCTAAAGTATCATATTTCTTTGATTAATAAATGGTGTTAATTATAAGGTACACCCTCAATAATGACTGAACTAAAAAGCTAGTAAATGTTTTTTGATACTGATTTTGTGAAGCATTCTTTTTTTCAGAAATATTAAAATGTAAATATATCTTTGACTTGAGGGGTTACTATATTTTAAAAATTGCATAAGGCCAGACTGTACAAGGGTGGAAATGGAACTTTAAAGTTTAAGAAGTATAAGCATTTGAAGAAGTTATTGGCAGTCTAATATTTCTAAAAGAGTACCTTGGGAGCTATCATGTTGAGCTCCATTCCTTAAAAGTCAGTGAAATGGCCGGGCATGGTGGCTCACACCCATAATCTCAGCATTTTGGGAGGCTGAGGCAGAAGCATCCTTTGCGACCAGTCTGGGCAACATAGCAAGACCCCATCTCTACCAAAAACTTTTAATAAGTTAGCCAGGCATGGTGGCACATGCCTATAGTCATAGCTATTCTAGAGGCTTAGGTGGGAGGATTGCTTGGGCCCAGAGGTCAAGACTACAGTGACTCAAGATTGCACCACCATACTCCAGGCTGGGTGACAGAATGAGACCCTGTGTCTTTAAAAACAAATAATAATAATAAAGATAAGTGATATGCAGAATTACCTAGGTTCAAATCTATTTTCTTAAAAAATCTATTTCCTGGGAACATACACTCAAAATAGCTTCATTTGAGGTGGCA